ATAAACTGCAAATACCAGTAAGACCGTTTAGATAATGCTATTAAACTTTTCAAAGAAACCATAAAGTGGATGAGCCCGCTGTACGAGGGCCATACCAAAACGGGAACCTCCATAGAGAATTTTATACTTCAGGGATTGTCATTTACTAAGTCTTCTTAAATACCAAATTTGAAACAGTTTCGTGGGTACATGTGACTAGGATTATCAATCATTATATGTGTGCTATAGGAAAACGTGGACCTAAGTATTCAATGTTCGGCCACTGGAGCCAGAACCCATTATGAACTACAAATACCAATTTTTAGACAAATACGTGGAAAAATGTGGCAAAAATCATGAAAACACTGAATATCGGAAGGTACCGTTATATGGAGGTTATACCAAAACGTGGACCAATATATAGTATGTTCCGCTACCTGAGCTAGAACCCATTACAAACTAGAAATAACATTTTTTAGACAAATCCGTAAAAAATTTTGGCAGAAGTCATCAAAATATGGAATATCAGGAGGTGCTGTTATATGGGGGCTATACAAAATCGTGGACCTATACATACAATATTTCGCCATCGGAGTTAGAATCCATTATGGGTTACAAATATTAATTTTTAGACCAATCCGTGAAAAAATCAGGCGAAAATCATCAAAATAACGAATACCGGGAGGTAACATTTGTTCTGTTCTGTTTTGAAGTTCTGCCAAATTTTGAAGCTCTACGTCAAATAATGAGGGCTGTATCGTGATTTCAACAGACAGACGGACGGACATCGTTAAATCGACTTAGAATTTTATGCTGATCCTGCTGATCATACTATATACGGAATGACAAAGTTAAGGTACCCTCATTTTCAAGGTGGAGGGTATAAAAAAGGGGATTCTTTGATGGTACAACTTACTTTTGTGTAGTGAAAATTTGTCCGATCTTCCTCCAAGGCAGTTGTGTTTTTTAAAATGTCATACTTCTCGACATTACGGTACAATTTTAAGGATTCTAAAAGGATAGGTTTTAAATGTTTGTTTATTTTTATTACATGTCATGTTACTTAATAATTGTAAATCCCCGCCAGACAGTAATTGATAAAATATATGGAAATTCCTTTCACCGGAAGAAACGTCAGTCACACGAGTCTGTAAAAGTAAACACAAAATTTAAATAATTTTAGAGTAGTTTAAATTTTAAAATGTTTGCAGGTATAAATAGATGGATATTTTTAAGTTAATATTTAAACAGTGGGCACATAAGCAGCTTGAAGTCTTCGCAAGAGATGCACTAGAATCCTGCCGTTGTTTTTTTCTTATAATTTGACATTAACATGCCTCGCTGATGTCAAGCTGCTTATGTATCCTTTCGGATGTAAATATTTAAAAAATATGCATGATTTTTTTGAAAAAGACACACATATATTTAGCATCACATATAGTTGTCAAACCTTTTCCAGCATATCTGAGGCATGGGAAAATAAAAAGAATATTAATATATTAAAATACATACAGATATATTGTAACATTAATATAAATAGTTATCAAATGCAGGAATTTCAAAGTAAGGGTCTGTTTCTCTATGACAATACGAAAAGCATTTCAAATGAATTTTTCATTTTTTTTTTTTTTGATTTTCTATTAATTAAATCAAAAATTTGAAAATCATATTTGGATTAATATTTTTCGTTCGAAATCACTCGTGTATCGTCATAAAAAACAGGTCCTAAGTCGCTTGATTTAGTTCCATTAATGCTTAAAGGTAACTTACAGCATTTTTTTTTTAATTCCTGTATTTTGATGGTTAAAATATTAACTCTCTTGTAAACCAAGTAAATATGATCATCAACTTACAATGAGTTATGTGAACACCAATTGGATCGCCCTTAAAATCAATTTCTATATCAAAAGTTTCCCCTAAAAAAGAATGAAATTTGAAAATCAAAACGATTTAAAAGTCAAATTATACATGCATACATAACGACTGGAATTATTGTTTTTCAGCGTTACAGCATTTCCCATGGCCTCTAGGAAAACATCAGCGAATGAAACACATTCTCTTAATCTCTTCAAAGGGTTTTTTTGCCTTCTTGGCGTTGCCGGAGATGATTGCCACAATTTGAGCGCATTAATGGCCGATTGATTTATTTTATGAGCATCATATAAAGAAATGCGTTGCATGGAACCAGATAAATGTGAGCTTTCATCGCGATTACAGCATTCCGATAAACTTTGCTTGGTTAAATTTGAACAACTGCCACGTTGTAAATGTGACGAGGACATTGTTGATAAGCTATAATTACCCGGCTGTGAGGATATACTTATATCTCCATCATCTCTATCAAAACTTTGAGCTCTAGTACATTTACTGTGGCCACATTGGCGACAACCACCGCCACCAACACCAACGGAAGATGTCAAATATTTCGGCGATGTGCTTCGAGGCAAATAGATGGTGGAGGAAGATTTCGAGGTTGAGGCAGATTTATGGGGAATTTGTGTTGACTGATGATGTTTGAAACAGGATTTTGGTGGATGAGGTGATAAGGTAATGCCAAAGGTTGTTGACAACTGTTGGCCACAATGTGATGACATGGCCGTGGTGTATATTGAACTATCTAGGGTAGATATATTTTCCGTACTTTTGTGATGTGAAAAATCAAAGTCGACCATTTTCTCTTTCATACTACGTTTCCCTTGCCGTTCGGAGCTTTCGGCACGCGTTCTATGCTGGGCAGCTGCATCACAGTATTTTGGTGTTGGTGGTCCTGGAGAAGGTGACTGTCTGCGTTGTTGTTGTTGCATTGCCAAACATGTATTTGAATTGGCGGCAGTAATTGGGTTTTTATTTTGTAAATAGCTTAATGTCGGCCCCATTGAACAAGAACTGGATGTGCGTCGATGTCTGTGGGAAGATGAACAGCCAGCGGCTCCTGCTGCTGTGGCTGGCGTACCACTGGATCCAGCAGAAGATTGTTTGCTCAGAGATGATGATCTTTTAGATTTTTCTTGAATATGTGTTAGGAAATTGACAATCATTTTAAAAGATTCGGTTTTACCGGATCCACTTTCACCTGTAAATAATAAAAAACGTTTATTAATAAAGATTCACAAAAAAATAAAATGCTACATGAAGCACTGAGTGCAATTTTGAATATAATCCCATGAATATAATCCCATTCTGAATATAATCCCATGTCTAAGAATTAATTGATTTTAATTATTTTTTTTATTTCAACATAAATATTGTTCTCTATGCCTCATTTTTGAATGTAGATATGTATTCAAATTCATTTACCCATCATAATTATGCATTGATCCTCATTTCTATCCTTAAGAGATTGAAATGATAAATTTGCAAGGCCATAACTAAAATTAAGAATTTTTGAATTAATAAAATTGATATAAATTTGAATTTATTACTCAATTTTCTTACATGTGTGGAGGCAATTGAAATATGCCCTTACTACCATAGTTATGTATTAGGTCCAACGAATTTTCTGATATGTGATGATATGGATTAACAGCCACCACGGAAGTGCCTATGTAAGTCTGTAAATTTGTAAAATAATCACCATTATTTCCACGAAAATTCCTCAAAAAAAAAAAATCCAAAATCCAATCCAACTTACATAAATGAGATCACGTTTGTAACGCTGATGTATGTTATTAATGAAACTATCTTCAGAAAGATTTTCCAATAATACAGAATCCCAAGTACCAATTTCTTGTTCCATAGTAGAAAAAATAACAAAATTTGGCAATAATATAAGGCTTGCAGGTTACAAAATGGAATGCTTAGTATTGTAATTATTTATTTTAAAGACCTGTAAAGAAAAAAAAATATATAAAAAAATATTATAGAAAATATAACGAAGATATAATAAAATTGTATTATTTAATAATTATTATTTTTATGTTAAAAATAGTCACAAAAACACTTCACTGTTAAGGTCCGAAACAGAAAAAAATTAAATTAGTAAAATGTCTTAGATTTCCTTTTTTAATGTTTTAAAATAGAGATATCATACTACAGGAAATTGATATTAATTCGTTTTAATATTTTCGGTTACAACAAAAACTTGATTAAACTAAAATATTAAAAAAGCGAAATAAGCCTCAATCTATGAAATTTTAAAAACCAAAAATATTCATAAAATTATTGTGTCGATCTATAATCTTATTTTTGATATTCATTTTGAAGCCCTTTTTCTAATATTGGGAACAAATGCGAATTATTAGTTTATTCGTGTATTTATAAGATAAATACTTCAGCTTCACCGTTGCATTCTGTAATTCATTTTTGGAATAAAAGGCTTTCATATTAATTATTTCTTCATAAATATTCCTTACAGAATACAGAGCAAGTTAAAGATTTAGGTTTTTAAAAAAAGTTTTTTTTTTCACAAAATTAAAATCTATTATCATCGGTGATAAAATACGCATAATAGACTACACTGATCACTGCAACAAGATACAACAGCAACAATAACGTGTGTGACAATGAATGTTCTCAACACACTTGAGATTTTATTTCTTTTCATTGATAATTTATCGATTTTCTTTGCTGTTAGGAGTGTGTTTTTACATAAATTTGATATACATATTAATCAACACAGTAAATATCTTCAATTTATTCACTCCAATATAACATTATGTACCATTATTTTAAGGAAAAACAATGATTTTCCCCATTACTTATTTTTGTTTCTAATTTTTATTCACACATATTATTATTTCTTGATATATACTACACATTCTAGCGCGGTGAGTGACTTCGAAGGAAGAAGAAGAATTGACATATGACATAGTCAAATAGTTTTTATAAACAACGGCGTCGAAATAACCGTTATGCTTTGCTAAGGTGATTCAGATGCAAAGGTATTTGTGTAGTTAAGGAAAATATAAATACAGCAATGAAAAATATAATGAGGTGAAACATTTTTAAATCACAATTCTACAGCATCTTCTTATTTTTAGAACTTTTTGAATTATTAAAATTTAAATTATGTTACTTTTGTTAGTAATCGAGTACAAAGCGTTCGTTCTCACGATTGTGGTTTAACGCTGAGCATTGCTTGACTGAACACACAACATTGAATGTTATGTCATTAACAGCTGTGATTTCTTGTTTCTTGTCTTGGAACGATGTCGGCCCTGCAAAAAGTTTGTAAAAAACATTTAAAAGAAGTGAAATTGTGAATTAATTGATAGAAGTTATTTAATTTATTTGCAGTTATCATCCTCCCTACTTAAGGAGTCAATAGCAAATGCAAAATGTGCTGCTGCTCTCATTCACACAACGTCTGTGTGCGAGAAAACCCAATCGGGCCGATACCGCATAACCACAAAACGTAACAAACCCCTCACCTACGAAATGGCCAATCCACCACATTATATTGCACATCGGAAATCATGGAATTCGTGGAATACATGTATGTCAAATCGATAAATTAATAGAACGTTGGCATATTAAATTATTTCCCCCAATTTTAGCCACAATGTTGGATGGCCTACGTCCCTCCCAGACTGCAATTGAAGATCTATTTATCCGCAAGTTTATTAATGGCACTTGGCATTCGTTGGTGTGCTCGGAAGTTATTATTAAGCGCCAGCATAATATGATTCGTATAGCTGCCATTATGAGGCAGGCTATTAGTGCACGTAAAATGTATTTCCTAATTGGCTATACTGAGGAACTTTTGTCCTATTGGATGCAATGTCCGGTCACATTGGAACTTCAAACAGTACAAGACAAAAATGATGTTGTTTTCAAGTATATTTAAGTTAACATTTCTGTTGGTAAAGCTAGTTTATTAATGAATATAAAACGAGTAATTTTTACTTTAATGAACAGTTATTTTTTCACTGTGTTGATTGCTGTTTTGCCATGCTTTTATCGCTTTGTTTACAATTAGAGCATCCGGATCTTTGACCTGAAAATAAAAGACAAAACCCAGTCAAAAAGGCATATACCAAATGGGCGGAAGATTAATCTGAAAATTCAGTCTAAGAGCTATTTTGAATATAATTCTTATAGACCATGACTACAAACTCACCACCCCAATTCCATTTTGAATAAATGTTTCCCCGTTAGGAAACAACTCATTCGGAATAGAGATGAAGTTATCAATACCTCTCACACCCACCTGCTCTATCAGATTTTTAAACTCGTTACTGGTTTTGCATTTCATTGCCTTATCGCTTAGAGCCTTGGCCATCTCTAGGAATATAAATACGACGATTTTCTTTGATCCGCCACATATTTTGTCCCATACACGTACTAAGGTAGATTCATTGATGACACCGGCAAAACAAGTCATATACCATCTATCTAATAATTGGTCTGATTTGAAAACATCCAAATTTTCCAAGTGACTGTAAAATACAACTTGTTTTATTTAATTATTCGCTTTTAATATTATTTAAATTACCTATACAACTGCATATCGTCTTTTTTAAGTAGTGTCTGAGTCAACTCTTTCAGTCTAGGACATTCTTGTTGTATATCTAGAGTACAGGCATAGAATTCTTTTGCCAACCAATATGTCTCAACATCATCGTTGAATATCTGTAGCAACACTTTAACTATTTCCATAAACACCTGATCAGCTATATCCTCAGGTCCTGAGTGCAAAAGACGATTTTGTTCCAATTGCCACATACTTAGCAATACTTTCGGTTTTGTTGTAGAGCCATATTGCATTATATTTACAGCTCTGAGTAGATCATCATAGACAGCTTTGCGTTGATTCATAATGAATTCGGTGGAGTTCTTATGCAATGGCATAACGCCCAAAATAATGTTCCACAAGAGGCTGCGATGTGTGGTAGGAACGGTGTAGCTCAAACAGAATTGTTTCAGTTTGACATGATTGCGTATATTATCCTGTAACAATTTGTTAAGTGATTTCTTTTCCTCGACACTATGGCAGCCTACTTTTTCATAATAACTGGACCGGAAATTTCGTTCATCGGCAGTCATTTTTTAATTATTTTAGATAATTCGATGTAGGGAAACTGCATTAAGCTAAATATGGGTGGATCCGGCCCTTCTGGAGGTTGTGTTGTTTTGGTTTGTAGGGCCCTATTTGTTTCTAATCAAACAAGTTTATTGTAGATATTCACTGAAAGGAACTGTAGGAAATAGATGCACATATTTTTGTGTTATTTAGTTCATTTTTATCTATATTTCATACGTTCACTTTCTTTGGAAAGGAAAATCAGTAAAACAGACGTATAGCGTAAATAAAAATTGTGAGTGAGATAAGTGGCGAAAAGGTAAGTAATTGAACATTATTTTAATTAAAAGTTTTCACAAATGTAACATGATAAAATGATACAGGTAGGCACATCAACACAGCTGCTGGTATAATGAGCTGTCAAACCAATTTCAGAATTGAAATTTTCGAATGAAAAATATCGAAATATTTAAAAATTGTTGAAAAAGGTATGTCGCAACAACATCCGGTTGGCGTCTTATAAGAAAATCCATTTATTTTTGGAGTTATTTTTAAAAAATATATCAATGTTCGCGAGTGTTGATGCATCTACATATATTCTTCTACCATGATATTAAATAAACGAAATAACTTTTTTGCGTTCCAGTACCTGCAATAATCTACTAGTGTTGCCTTTTTTTAATATCATAATGGTTTATCGTAGTAAAAACTATTACATTCTTGCAGTTCTGGAGCAGACCATTTGATAGAATCTTAGAAATTACAAATTTTGCCGATAGTAAGTAGGAGATCAAGGCCTATATAAGGTGGGCCAAGAAGACTACTTTTTTTCTCTATATGACTTTTTAAATTTCAAATTTAAATTAATTGTGTTTTTAACAGCAAACTTGGTAGTTAGCTGCGCTTACTGACCGACCTTATATAGGCCTTTTTGTAGATTTTAAGCTTTAAAGGGAATGTGCTTGGTTATGAAGATTTTTATGCCACTTCTTTAATTGAAAGGAAGAAAGGCTATTGAGAAATATCTCCATTTTCCTCATATCCATGGACTTTAAAATATGAAACTGTTGGTTTTGTATATTTTTCATTTTTTCAAAATTCTTATATTGAAAAAACCCGCGAAACAAAAATGGTATTTTGGGTTTATTCCACAAGATTTAATCTAAAATAGTAGGACAATATAGTTTTATTAAAAAATTTTACAATGTGTTGCCCACTAACGTCGAAAATAGGCATTCGTTTTGCAACCGAATTTGAAAAATTTTCAAATTTTTTATTGAAAACAATACATAAACATAAACAAAATGTGTTTTTTTGACAGAATAAGGACACCAAAAGAAAAAAATTGTATTTGGGGGGTAGCATGGTAAGAAGGTAGTCATGTAATCATATGTTTACAATTTTTTCAAATCTCATTGTCAAAATCTATATTCATAAATCCATTGTATACAAACAAAATCAGAGATAGGAACTGTTTTTTATGCATTGAAATTTGACTAGGTAAATTATAGAAAATGCAGAGCTGGGAATGCTAATATGAAATGTGTTTACCTTTATTTCATTGTACCATGGCGGTTGCTTTGTTCTACCACCTGTAATTGTGCCATGCTCATATCTATCATCCAAAAAATTACACTTGCGGAAATTATAGTAGTTTAATGTAAATCAGGAGTTTGTTTTTGGAAAATATTGGATAAATTCTGGAAAAATCTATTCGTAGATACCCCAAATATTCAACATACAGTGGGATGTAGCGACAATACATTATACTACTAAAATAAAAAGACATCAACACGTTTTTTATAATTAAACTATTTATTTACAATATCCCCACAATATTTGTTGTAATTTATCTACACACATTGCCAATCCGCATAGCTTGCTTGCATATTTTGTTAAATATTTTCATTTTTTCATTAATTTAACACTCTTAACATTTTGCTATACAAATTTTTGTGATGTAATATCACATTGGAAAAATTGCAAATTAATAATTTTTCAACACAAATACCTACTGAGAAATGAATATAGAGAGGGCCAGAGTAGGGTATATATACGCGAAATTATACCTAATTTAAATATTTGAAAATACTAATTGCTCGAATAAATAATTAAATGAAATCAACTATAACCACGGTAGGTATATAAAATACATCGAAAAAATATTTTAGTTAGAAAATGACTGATATTAAAAACTATAAAACCTTAATTTGTTGCTATTTAAAATATATTCATGTCTTTTTCTCTCAAAAAGATGTCGTGTTTGGTGGAGGTCGATCGGCCGAAGACTTCAATATCTAAAGAAAAAATGCTATTAACTAATAAAAGCGTTTACGGGCATTTTTCTCTTTGAAATAGGAAATGGCAAAAATAGCCACAGCTACAGCTGCCAACATTCCGAAGAGTAAAATGAAGAAGATCTTGGTATTTGACATGCTGGGTTTGGGGTCATCTTTATGCTCACGTGGTGGCTCGAATGTTTTGGCATTGGGAATTATGTTGGCACGGGCTATAATTTGATCGGGCTGTTGAAAAAAAAAGATTTAAGCATTATTACAAATGTAACATTTCAATGAGCGAAATTCAACTTACCGTAACATCTGTGTCCAAATCGTAGAATTTAAAACTCAAAATATCATGATTGTCTGACAAATCGCCTGTTGTTGCTGAAAGACCAAAGAAGTAACCTGTTGGTAATTCAACATTGTTAACAACGAAGCAATTTTTCCATTCGTTGCGATTTTCAAGATCTGTCGATACCGATAAAATATCGTTTTCGTAACGGATCGCCACATGTGTATCAAAATTAACATTACGGAAACGCACTTCGCAACCGGCTAATTGTGTATGAGTACCGTCACGGTCATGATCGTAACTCCATGTGCCATTGTTTACCATTGCGCTCAAGTAGGGATGTTGATGCTAGTTTAAAAAATATGATTCATTAGTATTATTGGTAGATAAAATTATTTCCGAAAATGTTAAAATTCAACAGTTGTTATTTATAATAGATGATTAGTATTATCGAAGAATACTTAACAAAATTAAGACAAAATATAAACCTCGAAATATTTTAAACTACTCAAGAGCTGATATCTAAATTTGGCGTTTAAAATACATTTATTTTTCACCAGTGTAAGTGTAAGAAAATACCCAAACTTTAATTCAAATATATATTGTGGGAATGGGAACTTCAACTTATCCGGGAAAACCAAATAATATGGCAATGAGGACTTTTAACGAAATGAAAACGGAATTTTAATATACTTGGGAGTCAGAGACACATCTCTCACGAACCGTTTACAAATGTATATCTGTCTTCTTTTGAAAATAATGGAAACAATATCGGCCCAAAACCCCTCAAATCTTAAAACTAACATGTTAATTTTTCTTCAATACTTACATTGTGAGGACCATTGTGATTGCTGTAGGTATCCAATATAACAGCTAGACCAGAAAAGTGATCTTTACTGCCAAAAACTGGACCCGGTTGCATACGTTCCTTAGTATACCAAATAGCAAAACCATCACCAAAAGTTCTGTGCCCTTGCCATGTACCTTGAAGGTTACATGAACTTCCCAATTTTTGGTCAAACATGGCTAAAAACAACCAAATACATTGTAAATTATTTGTACTTTGGACATCTGAGTCATAATATTTACCGAATAGTTCCATAGCGCACCACTTTTTGATTGTAAATCGGGTGTGAGCCGTATGTAGTTGCTTGTCACCACAGTGTGTCCGAGGAAGTCCCAATTGGCTAGATTAACTCCAACACCTGAAACAACATGTAGCATTGACAAATTCACTTTTAAATTTCAAACATAGCATCTGGGGAGGAACTTACCTTGGAATGGTCTAACTAATGAGTGTTCCCTCTTCATGTATTCATTGGTGCTAACTGCACACTCACACACCAGCACACCGATAATAAATATAAGCGTCGCTTTAATGCATTCCACAAAAGACATTTTGAAGTCAATTCAATTTGGTAACTAATTAAAAAAGCGTGTTGTTGCTATTCTTTTGCTCTTATCACAAAATAACAATTAGCCGCACAAAATCAATGTTTGCATTGGAGAAAATATTCGAGAATGTTGATGATGGAGTCGGCTTGTTGAAATGAAACAGAGTTGCCGTTGTACTGTAAGGGTTGTTTGCCAAATGTTACTAAATTTGATACATGAAACTAAGTTATTGTCGTAATTAAAGTTATTGCAACTGTTCTTTGGTACAATATTAATGGTGTACTTTATATTTTTCTCAAAAATTATTGAAAACAGAAACTGTAGCAAATAGACCGTCTTTCTAAAATTTTATCAAGTTAACAATTTGACGTCTTAAATGTTTGATGAAAAATGTTAGAAATGGCAATACTATTAGCATGTAAGATAGTGGCGCCCTTCAATAGCAACGTATGTCATTCGTCGCCGTCATATGAGGGGCAACGATGGCTGCGTTCAGTTACATATTGCAAAATTTGGAATTTATACTTTAAGAGTTTCTTACGCATCGACACAGCTGCTAGGACAGTGAACTGTCAAACCAAATTTGCAATTGAAAATGTTGAATGAAAAATTATTTAAATTTGTAAAAATTGTTTTTCAACAATATATTATAATATCCTCCGAATGACGTCGTATAAGAAAACATATAAAAATCTACTTATATTTGAAAAGAAATTTAAAAAATGTTGACAGATCAATGCTCCCAAGCGTTGATGCATCTACCTGTATTTTTCTACCATGGTTTCTTATCTTTTATTCTCCATTCTGTATTTGTATATAAGAGACATGCCTGCTACTAAGATTTTAAAATAAAAATGTACTGTTTAATAAGATATGTTTGTCCCAAAAATTGCATGGTCTTTTTATATTTCCTGCAGGAACTTCTTTCAAATAATACGTTTACATTTAATAAATCAATTGTCAATTCCATTGCGTATACGTCAAATGAAGTCGACTCTGCAAATGCAATGGAATTGACAGTTGAAATCCATTGAATTTAGAATAAAGGAAACACAGGTGTATAATATAGGGGATGACTACAAAATGTATTTTTTTACTTTACATTAAAAAATGTGTTTTATATAACTATCTCCTAATTAATGTATTTAAATTTTTACCGACATATATAAACATTTTGTTGGCATCTATTGTTCTTTAAAACAAAAGAAATTTTCAAGATTAATTTTTGAAGATATAATGTGTTTATCACGTTTTAATAACAGCAGTTAGAATGAAGTATGATACAAGTAGGGTACGTTAGTCAAATCTTAAGCTATATTTTAAATCATTATCAGACAGAATGGGTTTTACATATGCGCCGTCACTTTTATTATATATGTGTAATTCCGTGTGCATGTCAAATTTATACATATGACTCATAATACAGGGTGAGATGAAAAAACTGGAAAAAAGACTGCTGTCATTTCTAAGCAACTCGTCCGACCATGGTAAAAAAATACAGGTAGATGCATCAACGCTTGGGAGCATTGATATGTCAAGAACTTTTAAATTTCTTTTCAAATATAAGTAGATTTTTATATGTTTTCTTATACGACACAAATTGTGGGTTGTAAAGATGCGCATTTTTCAACAATTTTTACAAGTTTAAACAATTTTTCATTCAACATTTTATATTCCAAAATTGGTTTGACAGTTCATTGTCCCAGCAGCTGCGTCGATGCATCTACCTATATTCTTCTACCATACGTCCGACAGATGTTAAAATTATTCCAGTGACAGCTCATTATATTGTCCGAAAGTATGAAACTGACGAATTTGGTTTTCTCCGATGAGAAAACATTCGTTGTCCAGTATTTACCTTGCCAAAGAGGCCAGGTAAATACGTGCACCTTGGTTTGGCCACAAGAACTCCAGCGCCGGCCATGATGATGGTGTGGGCCACCATAATAGCCGATATATTATATATTTGCCGCAAACTTTTAATGTTATATATTTTTTTTATTGATTTCTTACAGAGAGTAATGTTTTTCAAAAGAAAACTAAGAGCTTTGCAATATTTGCTGATCACTTGGCATTATCACATTTTTTACTTACCGCACACTTTTATTTAATATGTATTCCACAAAGATGTTGTAATAAAACAATATTTTTCAAATAGATTTCATAATAAGCAAATCATTTTCATTTATTTTGTAATATTTTCTCTTTTTTATAGTCTATTTTAATATATATAGATATATGTGTGTAATTAATAAAATACTTTATTTTTAATGCCAAACAATTTTATAAATAGCCAAAGAAAAAATATTATTAAAAACCATTTCAAATTAAATGAATATAGATGAGCGCATAAAACAGCAATTAAATCATAAATAAAATAAAAAACAAGTAGATTTTTTTTGGTATAGAAAAATTAATAACAGTAAACAGACTTTTAAAATATTTTGGTGAGACTTACAAATCAAAATGATTATGAATAGAAAATTGGGTTTCTTAAAAACTAATGTTTAAACTAGTAATGTTGCCTACATATGTTGTGTGTGTGTGTGATTGATGGATGTGATATAATAAATCTTTCGTTTTCATATTGTTTATTTAAGTAGTTTTTGTTGTTGTTTTATGTAATCAATATAATAATAACGTTAATAATTAAAAATTTTAAATACATTTGGCTGAAGTTTCAAAGAAAAAATATCTTCCTATGTGACTTTATTGTTTCAAGTTATATATAAATGTTTTCTTTTTTGTTTTGTTTATGTGGATAATTTTTTGGGCCTCATCAAAGATCTAGTATAGAGGCCATCATCCACAGTTTCTACGTATATATATTCTACAAATTACATCTTGTTATTTTTAAATATATTAATATAATACTTCTAAATTTGTTTATGTTAGGATTCCATTTCATGTTTTTTTCGTATTAGGAGTTCACCAATCAAATTTGATTCATTTTGTATTTTATTTGAAGGCCTTAATGGGTGGACTGAGGGACCAGTAGATATACATATTTTGATTTTATATTTATTGTTTAAAAAGTTTGTATTTTCATGTTAGATCCTACCCTACCGCCATTATCTTGTGTTTTTTTTTTTAATATATTTTTGTCTTCAGTATTTCCTATGCAAAAATCCAAGTCTTTTCATCTTTGAGTAATTGTTACCTCTTAATAAAATGTGCGTTGCATAATATGTATGTTTGTAGATAGATATAAGTTTGTATATAAGAAGTTTTATATTCACTACCACACTGAATTAGTAACCATTTAATGATTTAATTTGTTTTAATTTCAGGTTTATTTTACGATTATTGTTATGTGGAGGAGCTGTAAGTGAAATGTTGGTGGTCTAAAGTTTTTGTGTTTACTATAAACAATTGTAAAATTGTGTCGCATACAAGAGTCAGTTGGAAATGTTAAGCAGCATTTTAATTTAATTTTAAAATACTTTCAATGTGACTGTGAAAAAATTTTTCAAAATACATTGAACCACATCTTTATGACAGCTAGTTGCTTGGATGTAGAGACGTTTATAGTTTAATAATTACTTTTGTTTTACACAAATGATAAATGATTCGTATTGTTATTTTTTCCAGAAATTCATTAACTTTATTTATTGCTCTTGCTTGCTTCTTCCAATTTATGTGAAATTCTTTGGATTCAAGTAATACTTTTTTATATGAATCACAAGGTTGTAATAACCTGCGTATAAATATTTCAGAAAACACAATTGATATTGTTAAAAATGCTTAACGAGATTAAAACAAACTGATTTAATGCTACTCCACATTAAAAAAATAGCCATTAATGATTTCAAATCAAAGTTAATCCCTCACCTCGTGACCTTTCTTTGTTAAAAATTATTTTCGTATGCCCAAAATTTGTCTTTGTGCCATGGCAATTTTCGTTGATGCCACTGATCCACCATTTGATTTACCGGGTCCAGTAGCAGCAACATTACCCACACCAGCTTTGGGTTTCGCCGCTACTACCGTAGTCAATGGTGGTGAGTTATCAAACGTTGTGCTACGTACAAGCGTACCAGGCCGGGGCGATGAGGCGGCTTGTGCCGTAGTTGTTGTCTTTCCACTTAACTGAGATCCTTTTGTGTTGTTGTTGTTGATTTTTGTCGTTGTTTGTTGTCTGTTCTTTGCCTCATCCACTCTACGCCAAATGCCAGCAATACGTGATTGAGCTTGATTGATTTTTGCAGCAGCATTTTGAGCTGCTGTAACTGCAGCATTGGCTGAGTTCAATGTTGAATTGCTACGCGATGGAGGTGTGGTGGTAGAAACCCTTGTTGATAATACCGCTATGCGGGCAGCATTCGTAGCTACCCTTATGTTGACATTACTATTTGCCCGTTGAGGTTTTGTAATGGAACCGCCAAAGTTGCGTTTGTTTGTGGCTGATAATGATGAAGAAGAAGAATTGGCTGATGTTGGCAGCTTGCGTGTGTTGGCTGTCTTCTGTGGCGATGTGTTGCTGGAGGAAGACAATTGGCGTTTCATTGGCAGCTTTGATAGTTTCGATTTCTTTGGACTAGTTTCAACTACCGGCACCGTTGATGCATCCACAGATGGTTCATCTTTTACAAATGTGCCTTGACGTTCCAAAGGTGGAACAGGTGCAGCTACATCCTGGGCCTTATCTTTTGCAGCATCCTTGAGAGGTTTTTTCTGGGCCAATTTTGTATTTGTTGAGGCCACTGAGGCTCCATTAGGCTTTCTTAATTGTCCATTAGGTTTTGTAGCTGTGCCTGTGGTAGGCCCTTGTGCTTTTGTTGGCTTAGATGTGTCAATGGTTTTTTGGAATTTCATACTATAGGGAGAGACATATTGTGGTTTTTACCCCCTCTAATTGTTTTGACGGGAGACGCATGTTCTTCGTCGCCGTTTTCTGTACTCTCATCATTAATAGCCGTACTTTCACCAGGTATTACAATTCTAGGCCTAACCACACTTTGTTTTTCGACAATTTCCATTTCAGCATCTTCCAATTCTTGTTCCTCCTCACAATCGGTCAATACATGTGGTTTTGTTTCAAAATTATGACATGATTCGGTTTCAGAATTTTGATCGTATTCCAAACTGGTTAAATCTTGATCTAATCGTGTATTCGTTTCATTGTCTGATGTTGCAACATTATCACTGGTGAATGTATAATTTGAGGTTATGTCCGTATAATTGGTTCCTTGAGTTATATGAGCCTGTAAATCGGAATACGATATCGTTTGAGTTCTATAACGTTCTTGGCTGGATCTTCTTCGGCTACGTGGTGTATTTTGCAAATCACTATCTTGTTTCTGTCCATCGTCATCATCGTACTTTCCATTCTCCACTGAGGTTGTCGCATTTCTCTCATCATAGCTTGTTATTTCAATTTGTAGGGTCTCGTCTTTTTGTGATTCTTCGATTTTTCTTCTCAACTCTTCACTCATTTCTCCGTCAATGGTGTAGGTACGATAGCGATCCTTTACCACTTGTCGCTTTTGTTTGGGTGTCAGATTTCTTAGTCCCATACTTGGAGAGGCCGAGTACGATTTTTTTGGTGTACTTTCTGCTGAACTGAAGTCATAATCTGATGGTAATGGTGTTATAGTTCCATCATTATAGGTATGCTGTTCATCATCACGGGGCAGTTGATCTTCGCTGTAGCTACGTAAAGTAATGGTATCACCATCCTCACAGCCCAACGTTACACCGCCATTAGCAGTTTCATAATTCGATACAGTGACTGTTGTGGCCATGCTCGCACAGTCATCAGCTATTTCAGATTGTATACTCGAAACGCTTATCATCGAATCCAATAGCTCATCCATCAAACTTGGCGGCTTTATGTTATCCAGCAGTAAATTACAAGAAGAATTCACCGACTCGGCACTTCCGCTTAGATGAGGAGGCATTTGTCCCAATGCTCTTCGCGCTACCAAACCAGCAGGCAATGTTTTTCGTGGAAATTTAGGCGATTTGAAATACATTTGCGGAGAGTTTTGCAATGAATTTGGCTGTGTATGGGAATCCTGATAATAGCCAGAAATATTTAGTGAATCCATTCCGGATGGCGGCCTAATATTATCCAGATCAAGACTGTTAATGCTAAAGGTCAATTCCTCTTCTCCATCAGTATCGGGCGCTTGCAAGTTGTTAGCAAGCTTTCTGGCTTCTTGGGCTATGAAAGTCGAATTTGTCATTGCATTCACATTGAAGCACAAAGATGGAGCAGCGGCAGCTGTCTGCACTATGCCACCCAATTTAAAATTGAGGCCACACGAAGAGTTTTCCATTTCGGATTCCGGGTTATCTTTCCGGTCTTTCTTACCGTCATCTCCATTGTCTGTTTTAGTAGACGAGACGTTTTCATTGACCAACGTCTTGTCAGTATAACAGTCCATGGATGATGGCTGAGAATCATAATTGTAACCATTTCCATTGGCCTGATTTACACCAATATTGTCGAAATCTAAAGATAAATCGGGAGGTGGTAATTCATCAATATTCGGTGTGTTTTCGGCAAAATCGTTTAGCTCCTTATAATCGGCTGTGGTGGCTTGATCTTCATCATCTTCGTCATAGGTGATTGAGATAACCTTGGGTGCCGATATGCTAACACTGGGAAAACTTACATCATTGGGGCAAGTGTCTTCATCCCAAGTGTCATTGGAAATCGAAGCTGTTGTTGTTGTACAATCGCCAGCACTGTCATTGGCCACAGTGACATTGATAAAGTTATGATGTATAATAGCTGGACCAGTGCTATTAGTACGTAATTGTTCGGCCGAGGAGACAAACTCTAGAGTTAACCTCTCCACCGATTTCAACATCAAGTCCGGATCTTTGTGCTTTTCATTTTCCTGAGGTTTTTCTGGACTATTATCATTTGTTCGTGATTCTAGTGACACTGTGGTCTCCATTATAAATGACTGATTAGACTCATCACTTTGACCATTTTGAGTATCTTCCGGTTCATCAGATTTACACCCAATACCGTTCATTATCTCTGGATCGCTCGCGAGACTTGGAAGATTTTCGTCTGGTGGAACTGCTGGATTCCTGTGCTGCGCCGCTTCCGAGTTGAAGGGATTTCTTTGATCGTTTATGTCTTCGTCGTGACTGATGATGTTGCTGGTGGTCGTTTGCTGCAGATTGTTCGAAATGTTGTCGTTCTTCTCTACGTCTGGAGCTGCTGTGATGGTGGTGGTGGTGTTGATGCTGGTAGCTGTGGACAAACTGGAGTTGTCCATGGATTTGGCACTTTGTGGGCGAATTAGTTCCTCCATTTGAGCAGCTGCAGACGTAGCCTGCCCGTTTTTTGGCTGGTTGTTATGCAAAACCAAGGCTTCACGGGTCAGTAACGAGGGAGGATTTTGTTGTTTGCAGGATTCACCAATCTTCTTCATAATACCCGTATTGATGCATTCCATTAAGAGTTTCTCATCCCTTCGATCGCGTTCCCTCACATGACGATTCGGTGTAAGTTGCTTTCCTTGCATTGGCAATGAATCGAATTGTTTCAAATTGGGATTCGATTGGGTGGTATTCTGATCGTTATGACCATTTTTATGAGTCCGGTGTGAATGGGAACTGCGTGTATGTTTTCGCGACGATGAACTGCTGCCGCCACCCATATTGTTTTCTCGATTCTTATGCATTCCCGTGAGTATGCATAGCTCGAATAGGGACTTCGATTGGTTATCATTGGAATCACTGGAGTCTACGGAACTATATGATTCATTGCCGGCCAGAATGGGGCCATAGTTTGGTTGTTTTGCACCGTTTGGCTGCGGTTGTGGCTTATCAAATTGACGGGCCGTTGTTTGAGATGTTAGAGAGGATGCTGAGGTTGCGGCATTAATTGGTATCGGTTGTGATGACGATAACGATGGGGTGGTCTTGTGGTTGCCCGTAGAAGTCAAATTGGTGGTAAAACCCAAATTCGATTTGGGTCTACTGCAGCCAGCGGCAATAGCCTGTCAAGGAAATAATTCACATGGGATATATTAGAATTTTTAGACATTTGAAATTCCACAAAATCTTACCTGACTTAATAAGTTGGTATCATCTTCAGATTCGATTGAGAGTGAACTCAACGAATCGTCTTGCCACTGTGGTTCTCTGCGAGCATCCTCTACAACGGCACTTAATAGTGGCTTCGTGGAGTTTTGGGAAGTCCTTACATTTAAGGGCGCCATGGAGTTATCACTGTTGTTGTTATTGCCAGAGGAACTGTGACGTAAAAGAAGACATTAATGTTTAAATTTAATAAAGGTAAAATGTCCCCACTTACGTTGCACCTGAGTTTCCGCCATGTATAAGTAAGGCCGGGCCGACAAGACTAGATCCAACCGTAAGATTGGAAAGACCAGACATTACCGAAAAATTGCATGGACTGTCTTCAACACGGTATTTGCTCATTTCATCGTTGCCTGTCAGATAGGGGGGCAAAACATTACCACCACGTCTCAACATGGCAATGGGATCGATATTATTGACACTGGGCGGCAATGATCGGTGACTGGCTGCTGGTGTCTCAGATATTTTAGGTTTTTCTTTGGCTGAAGCAGACTTTTGCATACCTTCACGAATGCATTGCTGGAGGATATCAATGCCAGCAGCACCACTTTCCGAGGCATTCGATGACATGTCATCGGATAAATTCAAAGAACGCCTATTGATCGATTGGTGATGATTTCTAGCAACGGAATTACCTATTGTCTCGTAGACGGTATCGTCTTTGGCATCATTATTACTGGAACCGAGTGATATGGCCGAAAGATTTGTATTGCTGCCGACTTTGGACAACAATGCTGGTGTATCCTCGGTGTAATATTGCTTAGGTTCATCTTGAGCCATCATACCACCACTAACTGGATTATTTATCGAGGAGCTGTTGTCGTTATGTTGGGAATACATTGAGGGTGCTGCAGCTCTATTCATACCCATGTTGATGCAGGATGCCAATAATAAATCATCATTGTTGTTTGTATTGCCATCCTCTTCCTCTTCACCCTCTGATATGGTATTGGTTGTTGTGGCAGCTGTTGGTTGCGGTTGGGGTGGAGATAGGTTGGTGGATGATGCTTCTTCGTCCATCATGGAGAGGTTACTCAAACTCGTGGCAGTTGAGAATTGAGCAGGTGTATTTTCGACATGAAATGTGCTGATGTCATCTTCAAAAACACTGCGCAGGCAACGTTTACTGGTATTATCGCCGGGGCGGTTATGCGAAGTTCTTTGTACATTGGGGGAAGCACCGCCAGAGAAACAGACTTGCCCTTGACTATTACTGGTATTTGAGTTCCGTCGAGGTGACTGTGGCATACTTTGTGTTGGTGAATCGGGAATTTCCGATGGAGATATAACACCGCTAGCCAAACGACTGAAATCACTAACCACTGAACTTTTGTCGTCCAAGGGCCCAACATCTTCCTCGGCCAGGGAATCCATTGATGAACGCCGTGAAAACATAAGTGGCGTTTCTAAGGCGGAATTAATTTGTGGTTGTGCTGGGCCAGCCAGTGTCGATGACGATGGTGGCTCTGGTGGAGAATCTGATTATCAGCATCATTGCTTATGGGTTTCAAAACGCATACAGCAGTGTCTTCTTCTCTAGCTGTATTCTTAACACTCGATCCTTCATGTCTTTCTTTGGTTGTTGTATTGTGCTCTGGCTGGGGTGGTGATTCATCTAAACTGCTCAACGACTCATAACGACTGAAGTATCCGGGTGTACCTTCTTCACAATAATTTACTGGCTTTTCGGGTGTATACGATCCTGATCCGTATGGATTTGAGTTGTGAGTCGGTTGCTGGTGAGGACCTCTACTTAATTTACGTGTTGGCATATGACCAACACCTCCCACCCCTGCATTGAAGCTGGAGTTTCCGGATTCTCCAGGCCTGTGGGTAAATCATTTTCCTCGTTTTTATCAGAAGTTTGAACAGATCTTAAATCTGTTACGGAAGCTGCATTTGATATAACATATGGAGTATCTTCGGTTTGATAGCATTTGACACTGTCCTCCAATATAAGCAGTATTTCGCTGCCTTCTGTTTGGTTTTTAGAACGGGCTGGGCCGTTGACGGCATTAGCTGGGTTAACGTCTTGCGGTACATTATCATTTTGTCCAGATGGCGGTGACAAATCTATATCTGATTCCAATTGGTTTTCAGCATAGCGTAGACTAAAATCTGTTGGCTGGTCTAAGTCAGTTTCCTGGTATGTAGCTGCATTATTTTCAGGATCCTCTCTGGAGTTTCCATGTTTACTTATGTGTTCGGTATATTTCTGGGCGTAATCAATTGGCTGTTCCTCGGCGGGTTCAACATCCCGGGGTAGAGCATATACGGCGCTGGCCGATGGAGGAGGTCTTGCCGATGATGCATGGTGCAATTTACGATTGGCATCGGATGCCGAATGAGATCTCATAAGTTGATCGTAAACAACTCCATCTGATTTGGCAGAGAAGACGGAATCACGACTTTCACTCTTGGTAAGCATAGCTGAGCGGGTTAACGACCAGAACTTGAAGCACCACCGCCCATTACCATGGATCCCAGCGCCCCGGCATGTAAAGGAAAACGATGTCTGTGCAACATCGATGAAGAACCACTTGAGCCGGTAGTAGCTGTAGCATCATATGTTGGCCGATCTTTTGGATTCACTGTATCTAGATTATCACAGGTTTCACTGTGTTTCTTGGAAGCAGCTCCCAACTCCTGCTCCAATGCCTTTTGCTTTCGTACATTGAGAGTTGGTAATTTTTTCAAATTTAATGATCTGGCAATTGGGTCCAAATGGTTGGTATTCTGTGCAGATGGACGAAAATTCAAGAGATTTTTCAGAGCACAGGCACTGCCCTCAGAGATCATGGCATGTTTGGAGTGTATTAGGGACCTCAACATGGGCACCGCACCATTATCCCACAGAAACCTCTGATCTTCGGGACAACGTGCCGACAAATTCCACAGAGTACCACAAGAATTGCTTACCACAGTTAGACTTTCCGATTTCAGTTGCTGCAGCAGAATCGACAGGCAATTGTGTTCCCTCAAGATTTGGCGGTAATCCTCGCGCACCGCAATGTGCGAGGAGACATTTCTCAAAATGCCACCAGCATTTTCAATAATTTTCAAGGTTTTACTGGGACCCTCGTAGGTTAGCATGCGCACAATGAAGGATAATGCCCCTCGACTGCACAAAATTCTGCTTTGTTTGTGCTGCAATGCGCCGATAGATTCCACAATGCCGACAGTATGGCTTTTAGGGTATTCTCACATTTATTCTTCATGGCTGCCTTGGCTAAAGCCGTCACAGTTCCAATTTCATTTAGTACCGCCTTCATTTGAGCATCTGCCCTCCAGGATAGGTTGCGCAATACGCTTGCCGTCACTTGTAGCAAATCATCGGGTGCACAGTCCAGTTGAGCGACCAGCGCTTCCATAAACAGCTTTTGACTGCAGAGCAAGGCTTTATTGTTTTCATCGCCAAATGTGAGATTGGTTAAGGCCATCAAGGCGAACCGTCTCAACGAGTTGCAGCATTGATTTTCTGGCTTTGGACCATGCACAGCATGATCCAAGTGCACTAAACTGGGAATGGCTTGCAAAGCACCTAACTCGCACATGGCATGACGATGTTCTTCATCGAAACTAACCTTCATGAGGGAGGACATGGCAGCCAAAGGATGACGGTCCGCGTCGTCGGCAATGGCTTCGCCACCACTTTGCAAGAGCGTACGCAAAAAGTTGCAATAATCCATTATTTGATCCAATAGCCGTAAGACTTTGGCCTCTCTGCGTCCTGACTTTTCATCTGGATGTGAGTGTACTACATTATGCAGGGCCATGCCCGCCCATTTTCTCGGTTCATCGGTCCACCGTCGGCATGAATTATTTGCACTAACAATGGTATACAACCTGATCTACGTAAGGTATTACAAGTTTCAGGATTTTTGGAGAGCTCATGGAATTTCTTGGCCATTTCCAGCGGGTCATTGGAACCCAAACATGGACAGCAGAGAATAGACACATTCAACTTTGGGCTCGAAATCATCTAATTTGTTGCCAGCATTTAAATTGCCTTCATAGCGACTGTCAAACTTTGAGTCCATGCCAGGCCTTTGGGTAATCGTGCCATTGGCGGTACATCTTTGTAACGTTCACGGGAAGATCTGAAGCCTGGCAAGTTGCCATGCAAATCCAGGGCAGAACGTTGTTCATTGTGACGTTCAAAGTTTCTATCCAAACTGCGATGTTCGCGCAACTGATGTTCGTTGATCATGTAATCGGGAGGTATGGGATTTTCATCTAAGAAATGTTTACGTGGTTTACCACAAGCCGATGAACTTTGCATAGATATATTCAAATTCAGGGTATTATCATCTTGGGTAAATTCTTTCTTGGTATAACCACTAGCAGCCAGTTCGTAATCACTTATTTCCCATCCTTTTCAAATTTTTTATCCATTTTGAGTTGTTCACCACTGCCGCTACCACTGCAATTATTTGTGTTTTGAGGGTGATTGGTGGTGTTGCTGGATTTGGTCGCATTGCCAAAATTCATGGCTCTGTCAAGTGTTCTATAAAATCGGGTGGTGGTATGGCATCATAGTCTAAAAAATGTGGTTTTTGGTGGCCACCGATTCAACATCGACATCGACAACGTCTACATCAGGATTGGCATCATCGGAAAAACTAATGGAGTCATCCAAGTCGGGTGTTGTTGCTTGTGACTGAGTCTTTTCACCGGCCGATGAACGAAACATTTTTCTATTGTTTTTGTTTTTCTGGGGGAGGTTTTCCAGGACGGTGTCTGACAATTAATTTCACTCTAAAGGGATTTGTTGTGTGCTGGTGTGGTTGTGTAGATGGGGTCTGCCTTTATCAGCAGTCCAAATTAAGCCACACTATGCAGAACAATGCAAATATTCATTTTACGCTGGAACTCTGCAAGTAGAAGAAAATGAAAGAAAATATTAATAATGAATAGTTGGAAATTGAAACAAAAACTATAGATGACATTTTGCCGAAGAGGTATCGAAAGGTTAAAGTAATCAGAGATGCTGATATTTGCAATAAGAATAAGAATTTATTTTAGGAATGGTGTGCTATTGCAGCCACTTCAATTTTCTGCTCAGTTTAAGTATATTTAAGGAGCACAGACGGTTTCAAGATTAAAAAGGCACTGGGGCTGATTCTCAGACATAGATCTATGACCTTGTTTTTTTATACCCTCCACCATAACATAAAGGCTATATACAGGGTGAGATGAAAAAACTGCAAACAACTTCAGACTGCTGTCATTTCTAAGCCACTCGTCCGACAAGCTGTTAAAATTATTCCAGTGACAGCTCATTATATTGCTTTACAAGAGTACTAGAAGCTATTTTGGATGAGAATTTTCCTAGAAAAAAGTTATTCGTGATGGAATTCAAGCGTGATACTGTGATTTCTTGTATATTGGCTGGAAAACCATAAGTGCTATCGATAGACCACTCCAGTATTTAATGTGAATAAATCTTTTGTGTCTCGTACCATCGCTCGGTTACCGTGATACTGGTACCTTAGCCCGACGGGCAAGGAAGTGGACGGAAGAAAACAGCAACATTAGATAGAAATGGTTCAGTGGTCGAAAATGGCTCGTGAGCTGAACATATCGCAATATTCCATTCGGTAAATATTGAAAAAAAGAGCTCGGGGTAAAGCCATTGAAATTCCAAAAAGTGCAAGAACTTACACCGCATCAGAAAGAAAATAGACTCAAAAGAGCTAAAGAGTTGCTTCGCTTGGCCGAAAGTGGTGAACTGCCGAATTTGGTTTCGTTGTCCTGCAGTTTGTAAACAAACAAAATGATCGTGTTTACTTGCAAAAGAGGTCAGCTAAAAAAGTGCACCTTCGCTTGGCCACCAGAACTCAGCGCCGGCCATGGTAATGATGTGGGCCGCCATAACAGCCGATGATCGCTCTCCGCTCGTATTAATCGACCGTGGCATCAGAATCAATGCCGAATATTATCGGGAAACTATTCTGGAGCGGTGTGTTAAAGCATTGGTCACGCAAACATTTGGCCGCAGACCTTGGACATTCCAACAGGAACTCAGCACGGGCCACCCAAGAATGTTTAAAAATGAGGTTCCTCGCTTCATTTCCAGCGCACAATGGCCACCGAAACCTCCGGATACCAATCTGTGTACTATTGTGTCTGGAGTAAGAGGAAGGTTGGCACTAAAAAATACCAAAGTGTCGATCACCTTAAGCAAGCGCTTCGCCGGGAATGGGCCAAAATACCACCGAGCAACATTCGGCAGCGTGTGACTGTTTCATTGGCAATTTGAAGGCCATACTTCGTGTCAAAGGTGACCAATTCGAACAAATCTCAAATTATTCTAAAATTTGATGTTTTTCCTAAATTTAATAAATAAAATTAACAAATGTAAAAATTATGGCGTGTTTGACTTTGTTGCAGTTTTTTATTTCACCCTGTATCTATTCCTTTTTATGGGTGGCTTTTTGGCTTTTTACCTTCCGTGGCATAAATCTGCATAGATCCACGTTTTCTTAAATCGCTCATATAACTAGGATTCCCAGCTTTGGGAATGTGGGAGAGTGAGAAGTGACATAGACATGCCTGAAAGGTTTGTAGTTTGGTCACAGATTCCATAGGCTTTATGAAAGAACGTAATTTGTGTTTAAAAGCATTGTCTGATGTATATCCTCAGTCACTGCATCGTTAAATTAATTATTTTGATTTGTGTTATGATTGTTCAAATATTGACTCTATATGAGGGGAGTTTCAAAGAAGTATCTGACCTCAGTCTGTGCCAGGATGTGTGAAATTTGAAGAGATCGGATGCTTTCTACGAATTTTATGAGAGATATATCTAAACGTTTACCCGGTTGTGGGGGAGGTACCATCTTTACACCTGATTATTGTTGATAGAAATTATGGAATGTGCAGTTTGAAAATAGTCGGATGCTCAACTTGCGTTTTATGCGCTTCATGGTTACTCAAAATGTTGACCACCTTTATAGGGGTGGTACCTGAAGAGATGAGCAATCATTAAATAATCTTTTGTTAATAAAAATATTGGGATGTGTGAAATTTGAAGAAATCGGATGCCTCGGATTTATAAGAGTTATAATTATTCAAAATATCGACCCTTTGTGTGGGAGGTTACATGATGAAGTGGGTCGATACTGTCCATTTTCGCACCAGGCAAAGCACTGACCAAATTCACTGATTTGTGAAACTTGAACAACAGTCTCAGAAGGAGTGGGACTATATTACCGATCTCCGAACTCGATCTAAATTTGACAATAATATTACGATGTATCAAGTTTGAATCGTTTTAGGAGCTGTGTGATTTTGAAGAAACCCGGATGCTTATTCGTTATGTTATAGAGTTATATTATTCAAAATATTGACCCTTTGTGGGGGAGGTACATGATGGAGTGGGTCGATACTGTCCATTTTTTCTACCTGACATAGCACTGATACAACTATTGGGATTTTGTGAAATTTGAAAATCAGTTGTGAAATGTTGACCCTTTGAGTCTCGAAGGAATGGCCTATAATACCCATCTTAGAACTTGCTCTAAATTGGCAAATAATATTACGATGTACGAAGTTTGGATCTAATCGGATACTACGTTTGAGAGTGTATCGAGCGCACCACTCAACCAGACAGACCACACCCCTAGATCGGCTCCAAATGTCTTGAAAATGATTGTCAAAGACGTATTTTTCCGTGATGGCTGTTGTTTTCTGTAGCCATATGGCTGAGGGTGTAAAAATGGACTTGAATAAAATAAAACCAGGTGCATAATTTCCATTTTAAGAAGCTTACGTGTGAATAAACCAATATTCCTCCATTTTTCTTTGCATGCATGCTAATATCTTGGCATTATTTGGGACGGCCTATTTCGATTTGATTTGTGATCGGCAATTGTACTGGGTCATGTCTGTTGGTAGCTATAGCAGCCTGCAACTTACCCGGGAAAGAAATGAACCATTCCACACTCTCGTTACAATATCTATATATATTATAGAATGAACTAAATTTTCCTCTTTCTAATGGTGCAAACAATGAAAATGTTTAGAAGTCGGCTAAGTACGCAGCACGAAGTGACAGCGCAGCAGAGTTATTCGAAGTCGGTAGCTGGCTGACTGACTTGGTGCATGCTACATATACAACAACAAAATACAATTATTTTACAATTGCAATGCTCCGCAACAGAAAAACGAACGAAATTAGAAAGAAACTAAAGTGTTTACGCTGCAATTATTTGCTGTTAACGAGCCGCTTTCGTGTAGACGTGTTTAGTCCATAGACGAATGGGTGCGTAGATTTTTCAGTAATGCCACCACATGATGATGACGATGGGGATGAAGAAAAGCAAAGGAAACTCATTGGGAGTGCTGTGCCAAAGTCTCAACAATAGAAATGTTACTACATTAGAGCACAAATATTGAAGTAGGGACGACCAGTGGGGTATAATTGGAAAATAATGCATACAGAGGCACTTTGAAATGCATTGTATGTATGTACATGTATCTGTGCGTATTTTAAGATATGACCATAACGTTAATGAAAGAGAACGGATTATTAGAATAGCGATTCTTTTGAAATCTATAACAGTAGATGTTACATTTTTGCTATCATTCAAAAAACAAAGGACAGCGTTTGCTGTTGAATGCATAGCCTAATATGTTTCCTTTTTATACCCCCCATATAAAAATAATTACAGAGGAAAGTGTGGTTAGAATTTGGCCTGCCTAGCCAGGGAATGACTTTGGAAATTTTAAAGATGATGGATATATGTCTGAGAAGAACGTCAAAGAGCCTTTCCTTTTTTGGATAACATAGAATATGTGCAAAATATTGTTTAATCGTCCCTATCTTTCTTTATCTCACATAGTCTATAATAGTCATAACACTGTTGTTGTCGCATCTTGAGGTCAGATATCTAATATTGCAGTGACCAGTCAGCATGTCCAACACTATTCCTAGATCAGACCTACTAAGTTATAGAAGGGCTTGTTCTTCTCTGAGATTACCGGCCAGATGGTCTTAGATTACCCTGCAACCGGTTCCAAGTGCCATCGTCTCAGCTTCTTCGATGAGAGCTTCTGGACGAAGCTAACTTATCGCTTATTGGTTGTTTAACAGTCTTATCATCGCCTGGAATCCCCTTAAGCTAAATTATTACATATATTGTTATAGATATGGGCCCATTGCACAATGGTTTTACTAATCCTCGTCCTCGGTAAATCAACAAATGAACAATTTTGAGGATTTTTCCATTATTGCTAACAGACGTACAAGCATTTTGTCGAATTTTCCAGAAAAAAAAAGTATTCGTGATGGAATTCAAGCGTGAAAGTGCCGTATTTCTTTTTATTTGCTGGAAAACCACAATGTGGCTACGTAGAGCACTCCAGCATTTAATGTAAATACATTTTTGAGTCTCGTACCATCGCTCGTTACCGTGATACTGTACCTTAGCCCAACGACAAGGAAGTGACGGAAAAAACAACAACATCAACAGAAATGGTTCGAAACGTAAGAAGCGACTTGATCGAAACCGCGTCGCAGTGGCCGAGAAATGGCTCGTAAGCTGAACATATCGCAATACCATTCGGAAATATAAAAAAAATGACTCGGGTGTAAGCCATGAAATTCCAAAAGTGCAAGAACTTACACCGGAACAGAGAGGAAATAGACTCAAAAGAGCTAAAAGGTTGCTTTGCTTGGCCAGTGAAGTGGTGAACT